GTTGACAAGACACATGCAACACCGTTCCGACCACAGTCTGATAGCCAAGTAGAAAGATTCAATGCCAACCTGCAACAGATTCTGGCCACAACAGCTGAGCGCTTTCACTGGGACTGGGACCTTATGATTCCCTATGTTGTCAAGGCCTACAGAGCAACAAGGCATAGCGCCACTGGTCTCACCCCCAACTTTATGATGTTCGGCCGGGAGGTGAGTGAACCAGTAGAACTGATAACTGGCTTGCCCCGCGACCCGGAAGCCACTCCCTCTGCCCTGGAGTATGTCCAACGCCTTCGTGAGTGGCTGGAGCTGGCGCATCAGACTGCCCGAGATGCACTTGGTGAGTCTGTGGAACGTGCAAAGAAAGAACTGCTGCCGCACACAGTATCAAGTTGGAGACGCTGTGTGGTATCTCATCAAGGGCACACGAAAGGTCAGGAACAAGGTCAGGAAGTTTCTCCCGTCGTATGAAAGGCCATTCTTCATCGTGGGACAGCTAGATGACCTAGTGTATCGCATCCAAAAAGGCCCAAAGACCAAAGTGGTTTACCACAATAAGCTGAAGCGATATTGCACCACCGGTCCTGGACATGGATCCCACTGATCTGGACCTGGGTCTTCCTGGGCTGTTCTCTAGCACAGACATGGAAGAAACCTCTGGCGGCACTCCACCATATTCAGCCAGGGATATCCCTGCAACTTCTGGCTCACTTCCCCCCACCCTTCCTCATCTGGACTTTTCTTCTTCTGGGGACCCTCAGGATAGTGGGGTGTGGGGGTAGTACAGTGGAGCCACCTCACCAGGGTCATCGCTCTCAAAGGTCAAGCTGCCCCCGTCAGCCCCCGGTCAGGTATGGTGAGTGGGTGGCTCATTAAGTTCATGGACAGCTTCCAGAGTTCAAAGGACAATTTACAACATTAAAGAAAAAAAAAGTTCAAAATGAAGTGATATGTTTTATACTGTTTGCTGTTGGATGCCTTTAATGTAGTGAAGTTTAACTCCATGTCCTCCCAGTTGCCTAGTTAGTACTCAGGTATGTTCATAAATTGTGTAGCGGATTATATTCTGCTGTAATATGTGCACCCTGCAAGACTGCCACATGTTTACATTGGACTCTTGGTGAATAAGGATGAATGCCTGTGTAAAAAAAAAAGAGTGACATATGCTACTGTGCTGGAGTGGAATTATGTTGTAATTGCCATCTAGAGTGTGGGTAGTGTTGTATAAGTGGCGTGGCTCCTTTAAGAGTGACCGTGTGTGTGTGTGGGGTGTAAGTGGTGGAGCAGGAACGGAGCTTGAATTAGGAGTAGCTGTGAAGTTAAAGGGCAAGGTGTACACGGTTTAGCTGTTTGTGACAGAAATAAATCCTGCACTCCTCAGAATCAAGCCGGGCTTCCGTGTTTTCGCTTGCCACCTGTAGTTTAAAGTGAAGGGGATTAACCTTCAAGTTGCAGACATCTTCGGCCCTGAAGCAGCACCTATGTCTCCCCTGTGCTCCTCAACCACAGTCCAGGGGCAGAAAACAGGAACGGTTAACAGAAGGAAGATTTTTTTTAGAAAATGTCGAAAATAAAGTCGAACTGAGTCAGAAGAGGAGGATTTTTATTTTAATTTTGCCTTTCGAGAATAAAGTTGAAATGTCAAGAATAAACGTGACATTCCAAATTGAAGTTGACCTTTTGAGATGTAGCATACATACCTGGCCTGGCATCAGTCAGAAGCCATTAAGGAAGTTCACTGTAAGGACATGCAGAGTTACGGACCCACAATTGAAACTTTGCGACTCTTCCCACCATCAAACTATCAAATTGATAGGAAACAGAGACAAAGGACCCTTCTTCCACAAACAGACCATGCTTTTACCATGTCCAAACGACACAGAACCAGACCAAAGGTCAAAGGGTCAGCTCCAGAGGATTAACCAATGGACACCAGGCAACTGGAGAATATAGACAAAATCTCCAGTTTGTAACAATAAGACTCTGTCTAATGATATTTGATTGTTTCTTATATAGGACAAGTAACAACAAAAGGACTGATTAACACTAAGGTGTGAATCCTGGCCTCTCTGTGCCATGCATGAACACACACACACATGAACACACACACACACACCAACCTCCCTTCCTCTGTCCCTCTCTAGATAAGAGTCATAAACTACAACCCACATTCCAATCCTGGGTAGTGACCAGCAGAACTCTCTTCACAGACACAGATCTAAGGAAGAATGTAAAATTAAATATCTAGCTGTTCTGTAACTCATGAGATGTTCCTATGCAATAGTTTAATCCCAAACTTCTATCCCATAGAATGTTTGAAATGTAACATGTAGATTTTAAGACAATGTCCTTCATGTGACCATACTGTCAACATCCTTCACACGGGGTAACACACACTACATGACATCCAGAATGTCCATATTATTATTATTACAGTCAAAGAACTGCTGTGTAATCCACATTTATAGACTATTAGCTTTGGGAAATGTTTATATTGTTGTTTGATCAATTAACCACTTGTATCATGATTAATTCCAGGTTTGAAGAATGTAATATGAAATCAACACTCCTATTACTCCTCTCTGCCATTATTAGTGCAAGTAGTTTTATATGTTATTTCATTTAATGTTTTGTGGTCATGGTGGAAGACGGATGTGTGAGTTTATAAGTAAACTCTAGAATTAAATTATTCCAAAGTTCAGTGGAAAATTACTCTACAGGAGGAGATGAGTGACGCCCCTGAAACATGCACCAGCCCCCCAGGGGATAGAACAGTCGTGAACAATTCACACAGGTCAGAAGTCAGAAGTCAGAGGAGAGAAACCCAGATGCTAAGAAGGAAGAAGATGCGAGAAACAAAGTTAAAAGCTAGAGGCTGAAAAGCTGAAGCTAGAAAACGATGCAGAAACTAGAAGCTGAGAACTTTGCTCAAAGTTCAGAGTCCCGGCTCAAAGCCCGGCTCTGTAGCCATGTAAACTCTTAGCTCTAAGCTGCTAGCCACAAGCTCATGGCTCTTAGTCATTTTTGCACTTTTCGCGTCTTTTATTTTTCTTTGCCACAAGTCAAGACCAACTGAACCAAAACAACAGAAGTGCCTCAGAGTAATTTTGTAACTTTTAATCATCATCAATTTTCCTTTTTGAAGATTTTTCAAAACTTTAGAGTCATCTGGTCAACGCCAGTCTCCTCTAAAGTTATCCAGCCAAAGAGAAGAGCATTAGAGTTTATTTCGCATCAACCCGCAAGAGACACCAGCAGATAACACATCTGCATGACTGCCTACAGAGAAGCCGAACAGAAATCAAGAGTGCCCGAGACAGAAAGTCTCCTGGCAAACTCCACCAGAGCTGAATCGCTGAGACACCGGCTGAATCTGTTATCGTGATAACGGGACACGGCCTCCAGGATAATCCACCTAGATCCCGCGTCTCCGGGGTTACCATGGCAACCACAGCCACCTGGGTTCCAGCCGAGGGTCTTCAGCTACAGCGCAACTCACAGTAGGCCAGTCTTAACACTCTGCTCATGACTGGGTTGATGTCGAAATATAGCAATATTTAATCATCAAACCTAATTCGTAGATGTAGTATCATTAGCTGTATAGCCATAGTGTATAGCCATAACATATTCTCTCCCACCATTGCCAACTCATCACACTGCTCATTTCATTATTATTTTCATCTTTATGATTATTACACTTTGCATTTACTCTGTAGAGAGTAGTTTAGTTAATAAACTCCATTATTTACACCCAATTGTTGTCCTGTTGTATATTCTTTTGACGTAGAGACTGGAGAACCATTGAATCGAGAAGTCATGGCTTCCGATATGAGATTGATAAATTTGGCAATGAAGTAATTCATTGTTGTCCTCCTAGAGGACTGGTGCCCCATTTCAGCGAGAGTAAATTCTAAAATATGGCGTGAACGTGTGTACCTATGTAATGTGGATGGAGGCCTACAGAACAAACAATGACCCCAAAGTAATAGCAGACTACTCACATCCATTGCGCCCTTGGGAGGATGCCCGGAGCGACTGCGTGCTGACAGAGGCACGAAAAATGATAGGGGAAGTTGACTTTATTCTCGACATTTCGACTTTTTTCTTGAAATGCAAAATAAAACAAATCTTCCTCTTCTGAGTCAGTTCGACTTAATTCTCAACATTTCAACTTTTTTGTCGACATTTCAACTTTTTTCTCAAAGTGCATAATGAAAAAAAAATCCTCCTAATTTCAACTTTATTCTTGACATTTTGACTTTTTTTTCTCAAAGTGCATGATGAAAAAAAATCTTCCTCCTCTCATTTTTTTCTCATGCATGGCCCTAATACTCTACCCTACCCTATAATACTATGTACGTTTCAACTCGCGTCCAAGAGGCTTTCTCAGCTCTGACTGAGTGATGGGGAGACCCAGGGCTCATTGGGTCGTTGTCAAGGCTATTGAAGTCACTTGGTTCATTAGTGCTCCTGGATGTGAATCTGGGCTAATTGCACATTTTAGTGTTTTTGGGCCCTGAAAATTTGAATTTGTTCAGATTTTCCTTTAAATTGTGAAATGTAACCTGGTAAATGACCTGGCAGGAAATAAAAAATTTCTGACTCAAGAAATGATTGAAAGTCCCATTGCCAATTCTAGTGCTTCTGTTCCTGCTGCTGCCAGCTCATCCTCTGTGTTACCTGCTTGTGCTGTTTCTTGATGGATTCTTACTCATGCATGTTTGCTGCAAATGTTCCCAAAAAACAGAGTCACTTGCAGTGAGAGAAATACAGGTAACTTGTTACCTGCTGAAGCAAATCTGTCTCTTGAGGTTTACGGGACTGAGTTTATCGATGTGAGAAACAGTTTAAGTGGTTCCGTGTTCTGCATGTTGTGTGTGCCTAAAACTGAAATTGAACTCAGCCACCAATCACTACTAGTCATATTTTAAACAGGTAACACGAGCTGAGCTAAAACATGGTGTACAGAACTTAACATAAGTATATAAATAAATGCTTACCTTTAATGCCTCCTCATACTCGACTGGAATAAGAAACAGAAAAAGGATCCATTTTTTAATGTGACGTTCATACTAATTCATTTGAAATCTCATAGATTTGAGTAGCATATCACAGCTTACTGCTGCAGCTTACTGTCTGTTTACCTACCTTGACTGTTAATGGACACCTGAAGAAAGAAAGTAGAGCTTATTTGATGTAAATATGTCAACATTTTCACAGTGGTGTCAGTTGGTTATTGGTTGGGTGATATAGTTTCAGTAATTGAAAAGCTACTCCATCAATGTTACATATGAGGGTCAGTTTACCAATCACAGGCAATGCTACTTATCATATTAAAACCTGCTATATGTCTTCTGTGGCTCTGAAGGAGCTTTGTCAAATTGAAAAGAACCCTGATGATGTCATGGTGATGTCGTCAGGAAAAAATGTTGGGTTTAGAAACTATAACTGTTGGACAGAATTGGTAAAAATTGGAATTAGCATTTAACAGGCGGGAAAGGTTTAAATATAGGCGCTGTTGAGTTGCATTATGGGAACTGTAGGATCATACAGCTCACCTTTTATCAGGGAATAAAAGTCAGGATATGTCAGCCTGTTGCACCAATTTTGACCATTGTGTTTTTTAATCTCTTGTAAGTCCTCCAACTTTATGGAAGTACAATACTTAATTGCTGGAGTGCCCCTTTAAAGTAACAGGAAAGCAAATAAGTGGGGAATCAAATAGATTGACCACAAACAGAGTCTGTCACCTCCTCGTTCTCCTCGTCCAGATAGGTCAGCTGAAGGCTGCACAGGCCATAGGAACGCTTCACCTGCACACAAAACACACAGAAAGAAAAAGCTGATAAGGATGATGGGGCAGCTTTTCTTCAAGAATGACAGAATAAGAGGCTAAGGACTCAGATAAAGTGGTCATAATTCATTTAATTTCAATTAGGATGACGTCAGTGACTAAAATGAGATATGTGAGTGTGTATGTGGGTAAATGGGTGAGAAGAGGGGGTGCTCATGACTGTTTCAGTTGCCAAAGGACAAAGAAAGCACAGTTTGTCTCCCTCTCTCTCTCTGTGCATTTGTCTTTGGCATCATGAAAGTGATTTCAAAGGCTCATGTCCATCCCTGCTCAGCCAGAGGAAGCAGTGGTCAGGGAGTGGGTCCCACCCTCACTTGTACAGCCACTTTACTGGCTGAGAGCTGAACACTGTATCCAGGTAGCATTCATTATGCTTACACATGAACCAGAAACAGCTCATGTTGTATCATTATGAATGAAAATCAGATAATGCTAAACTTTGTACAGCAAACCAACTTACACCTGTCTGTTTGGCAAAACAACAACTGAAGTCTGATGTCTGTGACTCAGCAGCACTCAGACAAATGAACTCTTCCTGGTTACTGTGGCTGTAAGAGATGAACCATAAATCCCAAGACTTCAAGCCTATATTTCACATTCTTTTTTGACACATGGTGTTTACAATGCCATTGATTACCAAATAGGTCTTCTAGAATTTTGCCCACACTTTTCAGTAGTTCCAGGCTGATTCTAGCTCACTGGCAGACCATTAGCCCTTTCCTAATGCAGGAACTTAACAGAACATACTGTAACATATAGCCATTGGTCACAGGTTGTGCTTCGATTTCCACTGTTCTCCACTAAGCTCCTGCAGCTACATTTGGGCACTGCTCTGGAGGTGAAAATAAATGCAAGTTTGAGGAACCCCTGATAGCCCTGTTGTTTGCTGTCTGGTAGATATTATGATTGGTCATACAGCTGTTATGTCACATCTCAACCATGACAACTACAAAAAAACGAAATGTCTGGTGTCTGAAATGGAGAAACAACACACAGCCAAGTAGTGCATGGGGGGTGTATAAAGATTAATAACAAGATTGTGGAGGGAACCAAGAAATCAACCAACCAATCAGAATACGACTACAAATCAAATAACCATTAGAATACAGCTACAAATCCACCAACTAGTCAGATTACGGCTACAAATAAACTAACCAGAATACAGATACAAATTTCGTGCCGCCTCCCCCTCCTGACAAAATTCTAGTAGGCCTACTTGTTTTCTCAGTACTCGGATTTGTCGTTTGTAACTGCAATTGCAACTGTACGCCACTACAGCAATGTAGTGGCACTGTATCATAATCCGTGCATCAGGCAGAGGGATCCGAAATTGCCAAAGAAGAAGAATACAAGGCGCTGGATTTTCTACCTGCAGAAGGAGGCAGCAACCTGATTTTGCGGCTCTTCAAACAAGTGAATATCATCTCTTTTAAAGCCAGTGTTTACATGATTTTAACATCACTTTTCATTTATCTTCACGGATGTTCTCAAAAGCATAGAGAGAGTGGCTTTGACCCACAGTGGCTGAAGAGATAATGATAATGGATATATAAATATTGTGACCCCACGGTCATACGGCTTAGTACCACCCCCGCCTAATTTTCAGCCAGGAAAAACCCTGTGATCAGAATACAACTACAAACCAACCAATTGCAATACAGGGACAAATCAACCAATTAATATACAGCTACAATCAACCAATCAGAATACAGCTACAAATCAACCAATTAGACTATGGCTTCTAATCAACAAGTCAGACTACAGCTACAAATGAACCAATTGGCATACAGATAGAAACCACCCTATCAGAATATAGCCAGAAATCAACCTATCAGCATACAGCTACAAACAAACCAATCAGAAAAGAGGTACAAATCAACCAATAACTAGGAATGGGTATCGTTAAGATTTTAACAGTACTACTACTCTTACAGACACTGCTTATCAATTCGGTACTTTAACGGTAGTCTTATTGATACTTTTTGAGGAAGAAAAAAAAACTTGAACAAACACAACATTTGTCACAGTTGTGACATGGGGCTGTGTTTGCATAATATTATTATTTGCAGCTTATTGATACTGCAGTCTTGAATAATGTAGCCCCGGGGCCCGTTCAATACCACAGCTCGGTACCCATCCCTACCAATAACAATCCGGCAAAAAATCAATAATTTGGGATATGGCTTGAAAACAACTACATCAAAATACAACTGCAAATCAACCATTCAGAATATAGCAAAAAATCGACCAATCTGAACACAGCTACAAACCAACTAACCACATCAGAATACAGTTATAAATCATCCAATTAGAATATGGCTAGAAATCAACCAATCAGGATACAGCTACAAATCAATGAGTTATATTTTGGGAGGATAGAATTGTCCCTACCAGTATTTCAGTGAACTTGTTTACACTGTTTGGAGTGAACTCATTAGATAATTATGATGTACCCTCCATGAGGATAAGTCTCCAAGGCGACCAATTAGACATGGCAGCATTTGATTGGCTGAAACTGCATCTCATGTTACATACAAATATCACACTTACTGCCAGACAGAGGAGGTGAGAGCAGATCAGAAATGTACTATTTCAGATGACTCCCTTTCCTCTATTGCCTAGGTAGTAAACTAACGATCCAGCAGCCACATTGATTTAAAATGAAAACCTGCTAGAGCTAGCTTACATCAGCAGCCTTACATTATTACATTGTTAATACTGATGCATCAGTGGATTAGCAGCACTTTACTGATGTAGCTGCTCAAGATGGAGCTGGTTTTAAATGTAAAATCAAGTAGAAAAGGAGAACTGCAGCACTGGTAGGACTACTGAATATAAACATATTGTTTGATTTTTCTCTCTTTTCCATTAAGTTATTTCAAAGATCTAACTTAAGTTATTTCCTAAAGTTTGTATAGTTTTTATCTAAATGAAACACAGATCTTATATAAGTAACATACATCATCTGTGCAATGTATATATATTTTGTAAATACCTATTGTAGGCTATATATTATATTATCATCTATTATTTATCTTCCTAAATATTTTTCACTGACATTTTGCAGTTTTTCTTTCTTGTACTGTCCATTATATACAATTGTATACAATATATACAATATACAATTATCTTAATAAACCATTCAACTGACAGCATTAAAAAATACCCTTTGTGTTGGAGGGGTGGCAGGGTTGTTGAGTTCCCACCAATGTTAATACCAAACCTACGCCCTTTTATGGTAGAAGAAATAATGGTGTGGAAACCCACATGCCTTGGTAAAACACATGCTCAATTTAGCATTTAGTAAAATGCAATTAGAAATTTTCGCATTGATTTCCACATTACATTGTTTTATGGTATGTGACCCCCTCAGTGGCTCAGAACTGTGCGAGATTCAGATTTCTCTTGTTCATTGCATATTACTGTTTGTTGCAGCACTTTACCGTGTGAAATAACTCCATGACTTACTACTGGTTTCCTGCATTTTACCATGGCCACTACAACTTCTCCAATCTCATTGGTGGAAAAGTAACGTGTAGCAACTGGACAGTGTAAGCAGACATCTATGACGCAGGAGTTTGTAGGTCTAAATTAATGTGTCCCTATTTAACTGTAAGTAACCAGGGCAAACAGCACTGAAGCTTCACCACCAGTTCAACATTTAATTGAATCTGACCCGAGATACATCTCTTCCATTCAAGGTATTATTAAGCTGCTCAGTGCTGCTACAGGAGATCAATGACTGTGATAAATACACATACAGTATATGTATGTATACATATTATGATGGTCCTTAATCAAAGTTATGGGTAACACTTTGTCTACACTGGCAATCGTAGCACAGACAGATTGTCAGTAGCAACATAAATACCTCTGTAGCATTTAAAAGCCAGTATTTAAATGTATCTAATAACACTGAGGAATTTCTTGAGTACATCTAACATGGCTATAATTAAATAACCATCATCAATACAGTTCATTGGCTACAAATGACTCAGATTGTGTTACACAAGCTGTTCTTACTGTGCGGTAACTAGTGCTGCTAACTTCCTCCAAATTGGGGCTAGTTTACAAGCATGGGATAGATGTAATGTAAATAATTGGATACCAGATTACAAGATGGTAGCCTTAATTTTAATGGAAATTGAGCGCATAAGCCAAAACATTTTCTGACCACGCCCGTGCATCCCTGTTCAGCCCATAGATTTTACATTGGGATGAGGTAACACATAAAATCACTATTCTAAATTCTTGGAATGTTTTAGAGATATAAAATCTTCAGTGTTTTAAAATCCATTAATACAAAGTGTTATAACTGAGTTTGTTTGCAGTTGGGTGTGTGCTGTCAACAGTTTGTAAACATTGTAGTGTGGCACCATATCAGCTCTATTAATACATCAATGCTGCAGAAACATACTCCACCAGTGTCCATCTAGCAAAGCTGGAATGCAGGCAATTATCTTAAAATTTGTCTTGTTATCAGTGTCGTTAACTGGAGACTTTTGTTCTCTGACTTTTAGGGAGTGCCTCATTGTAGGCAATGTACCAGCCTGAGGAGAAGCCCCGTCTTCAAGATAAACACAGGGAACAAAGGTCCATAACCAAATATCAAGTACATGCATTATTAATAGGTATATCACTTATTAGTGTGTAGGTAAAAACTGTCTGACACTGACAACAGTCCCAAGCTAGAGGGAAAAGCATCGCCAGAAGTAGACAACTCTGACCTAATATCATTTAACAACACGATACCAGCAGTCACAACACCACAGGCTTTCAGTGTAGCTGATCTTTTTCTCAAGAGGTTTTGAGACTTCAAGCAAGCCTGTCTATCCTCTGTGTGTGTGAACATGCCATTTGCAGAAAATAACTAGGTACATGGTACAGGTAGCCTTATTATTGAGTCCTAGAGTATAATTTGGTAGTACTTGTAAGTTTGAAGTTTTTGCTACTCTATAAGCTACTTCTAATCCCCTACATTTTGGAGGGAAGTATTTTACTTTTTACTCCACTACATTTATTTTACAGTCATACTTTCCAATTATTTAGATTTTGCATGAAAAACATATGATAATGTTAATAATATACTACAGGACTTGATATTAAGGCTTATCTTGTTGGCCAGGACAAGTGGCTTTGTTGTAGGGTAAGTGTAGGAGAAATTTATTTTCCCCTGACAAGTTTTAAGACAACTCTGAAGTGTGTTGGCCACCTGTTTAAAGCCCCTATAGGCTTATCTGAGCATTCATTGATGTCACTCTGCATTGTTGTCTAAAAGGATATAAAAATGATTTTTTCAAGTGAAAACAATACATACTGTATAGACACTTTTAGAAAATGCATAAATTGAATAATTTATAGAATTTGTGTTGTTGACACAGTTTGGATTCTATCAACAGTGTATACAGCTGTTCCCCCATTTTCCTCCTCTCAATCCAACCAGTTGAGGCAGACACCCCCCCACCCCCCACATGGCCACCACACACCATCCATCCATTCATCATCTTTGCCGCTTATCCTTATAGAGTCATGGGGGGGCTGGAGCCATTGTGCATGTCTTTGGACTGTGGAAGGAAGCCGGAGTGCCCGAAAGAGAACCCACGTAGCACAGGGAGAACATGCAAACTCCACACAGAAAGGCCCCAGGCCCGGGATTCAAACCCAGAACCTTCTCGGTGTGAGGCGACGGTGCTAGCCACTGCTCTACTGTGCCGCCCCGCCACACAGCATTAAATACTGAATTGATAAAAGACAACAAGTAATCATGGTGGGATTGATGAGACTGCATGAACAGCAACTGAAAACAGAAAAAGGTCTGAAATTAGGAAGCCATTTTACAATTTTGTGATTTGTGTGTTTACCATATGATCAAATATAGCAGCAGTATATAGGCATGTTTTATAGTATTATGCTGACCAAATTAATGTGTCATGGTATTCCTGATTGTTATTGCTGTGTATTCAGAAGAGCTCCTGCTGGGCCTTGCTGCTGTTATTAACAGCAGACTAGTAAGTGCATTGACAGGAACACTCACTTAGCTCTCCATGCAGCTAACAGGCCAGATACAAGATCAAACCAGTTATACTGTTCTGGTAAACAGTGTTTCCATGACGACAAACTACTTATAGTGTATCCTCCCTGCCGTTTGACTCTGGTATATGCTGTCAGCCTGATGGAATATTTTCACAGCTGCAATATTTACAGCTCACAGGACAGCTGCATGAAGGTAGTGCTGTTTCAACAGCATCTCTGGCAATAGCAATAGCATCTGGAGCTGGCAGGCTAATCCCGCAAGAGGTAACCATGGTCACAAATAGCAAATGTAAAAGAGAGTTGCCAATATGAGCAGTGCCGAGGCAAGGGAGGCTGACTGTGTGCGGTGATCGCCCAGTTTATCGTCCTCTCTTACCATGGCCTCCATCGACTCCCAGCTCTTGGTCTCGGTTCCCGACAGGAGGAAATTCTTCGAATTTCCCCTGAAATTCACCTTCAGATTGATGTAGAAGTCCATGGCGTCGCCTGTCTGCGCTCTAACACATATTACACACGACGCAGACAGACCGCTTCCCGATCAGCGAGGCTATTTGGGTTAATCTCTATTTGAGGCGTATTTTGTGTTTACATCAGCGCCCTGGGCACTCCCACTCTGTACCATGTGTCCGGAACAGTGAACGCTACGTCCGCTGCCACGTCACTGCGCAAAAAGAGCGCAGCTGAGGTTGTATAAGTGTTGACAACATTGATGCTGACTTTTCTCTTCACTGGGAAAATGTACCGTTTGCTATCTTTAATAATAATAATAATAATAAACCTAAAGAATTGTATATAAATTTGGTTCTGGCAAAATGTCATATCCATAAATCTAAATTTAGCCATTCTAAACTGTTGTTTAATGAGACCAAACTACATAAAAACCATTTTAACTCCAAAAATAAGAAAGCTATAAAAACAGTGGATTTGTGGTCTTTGTGGTCACTCCCTCTGGCTCTATTATTGTTTTGTGTGTATTAATGACTGCTTTATTTGTGAACGTTTGTTTGCATTAATGTTTTCCCTGTTATATGCCGTGTGGTGTAACGAGGAAGGACTGCTTATCTCTGACCAACGCTCTGCTTCTCTGCTTTGATCCGTTCATACCATACTGCCACTGGTCAGTCTGTCTTTTCTACACAACCCAGAAACAAAGACGAAGCATTAGAATGTTTTTTTTTATCAATAATATATTAATATAATCCAGAGGTTTTCAAAGTAGGAGGCAGAAACTAATAGCCTTAGAACAAGACCTTTTTAATGTGTTTGGTTTAGCCTCAAGGTATGTCAAACAGCAGTATTAGGCTGTCTTGGCTCTATTGTTGAGTCTCTATGTGATCAAATAACATAATCATGATCTCATAGGCATCCAGGATTTCAGGGAAACAAAGAAAGTAAACCAAGGTGGGATGGGGTGGAGGTGCCTTTTTCCAAGGTTTGCCCTCAGTTTCAGACTTAGAAAACCCTTTATATTATCAATTACTGCATTAGAAAAGTCTATTTTACCAAGAAACACAAAATAAATATCTGAAAAGAGAATAACTCTAAATTGTGCTCAAAAATACATACATCCATGCACAATAAAAACATTGCTGCTGCTTTCAGCTTCAATTTCCTCCCCTCTTCTCTGATATATTGGATAGTTCTTTAATCTGTCAGTTCTTCTCATGTGGTTTCATTTAAATAACTGAGATCCAATATTTCACAAAAAATCAAAGATTAAAGAAAAGTCCAAAACTGAAAACATATTCTGTATCAAAACCTTCTTTTGTCTACTTGAAATATCTCAAGACACCTCAGATTTATCTTGTGACCCTTTGGAGGGGAATGACCCATAGGTTGAAAACCATTGGACTAATTACCTAACAGGCTGCATCTTAAGAAGCAACAATAGTAAAAATGCTGCTTATGCATCAGTGTTACCAATCTAGTTAAAATCCTATTTCAGTTTACTCTGAGAACGGATTCCCGTTTCATACAGTAGCCTACCATAAATTAATACAAGACATCAAAATTAACATTTAGTTGATTCATGTTTATTTTGCAGAATTAGAACAGAGACTGAATTAGAATCAATTTTCAGAAACTGCCAGCTGTGTCTGATGCACCATACAAGTAGCATAATCTATATTTTAAAAAAAGTCTGCAGTCCTGCTAACAGCTCTGTGAGGCTGTATGAGGACACAGTGGCTCTAAACAATTTAGATTTTGAATATGAATTGTCAGAGGATCAGCAAAGTTGTTACAGTTAATCTTGAGGTTTCTTCCAACTGTAGTGGCAATCTGTCCAATACGTGTTGAGATCAGTCAAAAACTACAAACTGTGGGTCCAGAGGTATTGTGAGGGGAATTACCAAAATCATTAGGGTACAATGTCTGGGAAACATACATGTCTATGTAACATTTTGCGCCAGTCCATACAGTAGATGATATTTCATAGGAAAAAGTGAAAACTTTGACCTTCTGATGGCACTCGAGGAAAAGTCAAAGGATCACCAGATCCAGTAGGATTCATCCACTGGCCCACTGACCATACTTCAAAACTGCCCATACTACTTAAAAATTGTATCAGCTGAGAAACACACCAATCTTTTCAATCCAATTTTCAATTCAATTTTATTTGTATAGCGACAAATCATAATTTACATTATATCACAGCACTTTACAGGGTAAGGACAAGACCTTACTTTATTATAGAGAGAACCCAACAGTTCCCACAAAGAGCAGCACTTGGCGACAGGGGGCAGGAAAAACTCCCTTTAATAGGATGAAACCTCCAACAGAACTCAGGGTGGGGGGGCCGCCTGCCTCAGCTGGTTAGGTTTGAGAGGAGAAAGAGGAGGTGGGGGATGAGAGAGGGAGTGACTGACTATATTTCTTCTCTATTTCTACAACAATCAGTGTATATAACATTGATTGGTTGTGTCAGGACTGTGTGGGTGTGGTTTGATCAGATGTAATTGTCAGGGAACCTGGCAACATAAACAACTGTGAACTGTCATCAGATTTTGATTCAAATCTAGCTAAATCCTGATTGGTGAACCAAAGTATGTTACAAAATCTTTATCCATCTGAGAACATTTCACATCTGTGAGAAGATGACAGATAAAATACAGATACAGAAACCTCTCGTGAAATAACCAACGCTGTTTGATGTCTGATGTCTTAGATTGTCATTTTTTACTCATGTGACTTTCTTTTTTAGGCCTGAATATTGTTTGACCATTGTTGGAGGGGGCCTGAGAATTATGCCAATAACTACTTCACTGCAATTGGTGTGCATTTCACAATACAGAACTTAAAACTTACATAGCAAAAACTGAAATTCACCAAATGTGAGGCAGGACTGTAGGATTCAGGTTTACTGAAACCCTGAGAAGCAGTTGGTGGAGATAATGTGCCTGAACTTGAATGACAATCACATAGAATTTAAAAGGAAGAAGGAAGTAATTTTGTAACTTTTTTTATGCTGCTGTTACTGCAATGTACAAGTAGATTGTAATTATACTGTAGCTTTTAAGATATGTATTGCTTATATAATTATATTTAATTATATTATTAAATTATATATTGTATTATATTTATGTTTAAGAGTTTTTTAAAATTGAAATTAGATTAATTACCTTTGGCATATGTATATGTTCAGGAAGAGAAGTATGTGAGAGAGAGAGGCTGGAGGAAACAGCTAAAAAAGATGGATAGGACAATGCCACAGTTAAGAGAAAGCAGACAAGGAGCAATGCTGTGCAAAGTAATAGAGTAAAGGGATATGAGAAGGGAGAAGAGAGATATGGCTCTCCAAATCCTAGAGGCATCAGGTATATATGCTGTAAATCACGCATACAGTATACCTACAATATACTTAATAAATAATATCTGGTAATTCTTGTTTTAGTCTTTGATGAGTATACTTGTGCAATGTCTGCAGCTTTCAGGCCCCCGGGATCTGGACCTCCTGTTACAGCCTGGGTGAGTTGTTGTGAAACAGCAGTTACAATGTGAAACTGTGATGTAGACATAAAAAGTAAACTTGGGTATGCTAAGAGAAAGCCACCTGACACAATTTAGACAACTTGGTGTTTTATAAAAAAAATAATAAAAAATATAAAAATAAATCAATAAATTGTTTTGCACTTCAACAGGTCCAATGTGATGACTGTGAAAGGTGGTTCCATGCCCACACTGTGTAGCAATGGACAACACAGAGTTTGCAGAGACCAAGAAAGGAAACTGGAAATGTCTCCTGTACAAATAAGGTGTCTCTGAAATGTGCTCAACTTCTGTCTTATTTTTTCAGTGTAGTATACAATTCTGCATTGGTTTGGAGCCACTGGCTTACATGACGTTGAAACTATTGAAAACAAAATGCTGATTTATGTGTATATGTGCCAGTGTACAAACACACACAGGCTATGGCTACTCACACAGAAACTTTATTGGTTATTTACAACAAAATCAAAGTTATGCACACCTCTTTAGGTGTTGGAAATCCCAAGACTGAAATGGCTGTAGAATCCAGGGTAGGGATCTTCGGAATAGATGCCATGCAGGGGTATAGCAAAAACAAAACAAAAGCCTTCTCTTGATCTGCTATCATACAGTGTTTAGATTTCTTTTTGTTCCAGACACAAAGCCATTTTAGTTAAGAACAAGTGACTATTCAAACAGCCATCCAGTTTCAAAGCACAGTATAAATACCTGGCATGCAGATGTGAGCAATTCAGCACAGAGTACATTCTCCGGAAGACCTGCTTGTACTTGTTGGAGAACCTCCTCCAATCAGTGACATTGGTATAATCTATATAAAATTTTGGGATTATCAAATTGAAAACTACGCTTCATGTGAGAAATATGCTGAAACGTTGCAAGTCTGCAACTATCAAAAGCCTAATTTCTTTACTTAAGCCACAAAAAGTGACATATTTTCCTGAAGCTGTCATAAGTGATGTCTCCAAGGTCAGCAGTGCCTGATCACCATCCTGGAGGACCACCTCAAGCTGTATGTCTTCCAGACAACATCTTGGAATTTGCAAAGCATACCATAGACAAATGTCATAATAACTTTTATAGTATTTTTTATTAAAGGGTTGTAGAAACATTTATGTTATTTTATGTCTCATGCTCTGGTAGTTCCTTACTGACCTCCAGGATTCCCTTGTCCTCAGTCAGGTCAACAGTTTCCTGAAGGAACACATTTAAGTATTATTTTGACAGTTCATTATGTAGACAGTTGGTAGTATTTTGACAGTAGATATGTATGCAAGATAGTAAGTTCACTTCATTCACACTAACCGACTCTTCAGGAGGGATTGTCCTGGGCCTCTTTGTCTCCTCCATATCCGCTCTTATCTGTACACAGACCACAATTATTTAATTATCACAGGGTGCAAAGATCAAATATTTTTTTAAAATGTCAGTACAAAGTATGCATATGAAGTGGGAGGTTTGGATCCAAGATGAAACAATCATATAATAAAAAACCATTAACCTGCATGTCATAAGATTAGATTTGTCAACAACTCATGACGGGGTGGGATCTTCAGATTTCCTCTTCTGTGCTAACCTTTAAAACAGATAGATTCTCTTAAATGACATGTTAGAGA